AGCATGCGTGCGCGTGATCACTGTTTAGTCCGCGCAGCAGACACGTGTACGCCTCTCGAATGTATTTTTTCTCTCGTACGGAGTTCACGGATACCGTTTTATAAGTGACACCTTTTAAGATTAACTTTTATATGTTTCATGCGGAATGTTCAAAAGAAAGAAAGAAAAAAAAAAGAATATAAATAAGATGCATTATTTTTCTCTGTGATATTGTATGCGAGAGCAACGAAACTTGTCCCCCAAAGACATACTCGAACCCCCCCACCCCACCCGACTCTAACCCCCACCGTTTCTCTCTGAATCTTTCCTACATTTTCTCGAGTTTGAACGTCGAGCATCGGAGAACTTTTCGGCTTGCGTGTGTATGTGTGTTTCCTTTCTTCTTTTTTGTTTTATTTTCTCTTTGACTCCCGCGTGGACCGCCGTTCGTCGCGCGAGAGAAACAAAGGAGAGAGAGAGAGAAGGAAAGGTGAGAACGCGGGGAGAGAGAGAGAGAGAGACTAATTTTGCCCATACCTGGTATCAGCACGCTCGCTCGCTGCTCACACTCTCCTCCCTCCCGCCCACGCATCGTTTGCGCACGCCGCAATCGAGCACTCTCACCCCCCAACCCCCTACGCCCCTTATACCTAATTGCGGATGAAAATTTGTCTGGAGACTGACGCTGACTCTGCTTACAGGGGAGTCGACGTATTTGTGACTTTGAAACTAGCTCCGGCGGGGACCGATCCATCCGAGCTAAACTCCTTTCAGAAACCGTCCACCTGACAGCACGTACACGATATCGATCGGGCGTAGCCAACGAATTCAGCCTGCGTCTCTGCCAGTCCATCGCCTACACACCTTTATTAACCGCCGCATTGCCCCTCGGTTCGCCGCAATTCACGGAACAGTTTCCCCGAACCTCGTTGCGCTGCGTTTTTCACATTTTTTATCTTCTTCTAATTATGATTGTCGTTTGTAAGAGAAACAAACCGGACTGAACCGGACGCGACCCCCCGATCGTCCGCGCCCACCCCCTTCAAACGACAATTCGTTGTTTCGCTCTCGACGATGATCACAATGTACCCGCGCGCGCGTTGCCGATTTGCCATTTCATTTATCGATTTCTAGACGATCGTCTTCGACCCCTCTCGAATGGACTCTCGTTGTCCCCACCCTCTACACCCCCGCCCGACGATCAATGTATCGCGCGATTGATTTTACTTTATCGAGACTCCGACCGCACGCGGTCGTTACACGTCGTGGATTTTATACGAAGAACGGAGATCGTGTCGCGCTCGACCCGATCCGACGTCGGCTTTCGTTTCGCAATTTTTATCAGATGATTCGTTTTAAAAGCGCGGGACAGAAGAGCGGTTCTTTTTAAACACTTCGATTGTACACGCGCCGAAAAAAAAACGGTGTCTCGGAACACATTTCTGTTCGACGAAGCGATAACTCGCCGCGCGTCCGGTAGCCTCACCGGGACCAATGAATCTGCTTTTTTTTTTATTTAAGTTTGTCTCGAGTCTCTCATTCGGTGGAAATTTTGTCGACGTTGTCATTCGCAAGAAAAAAAAAAGAAAAGAAGAAAAAAGAAAAACGTTTCAATTTTCTCAACGAACAAAGTACAAAGTAACAAGAACGGATCTCAAGCGTTTGCCTTTTGATAAGAGTAGAAAGAATATATTTAAGATGTTTTGTACGATCGATATCGAGACAGAGTGAAAGAGAACGAGAGATAAAGTGAGTGAGAGAAAGAGAGAGAGAAAGAGAGAGAGAGAGAGAGAAAGAAAGGTTTTACTAGTTGTACGCGATACACGCCCGTTCGATGGTAGTCGCTGACGAGAATGGACTCTTCGATTCGATTGGTTTATTGGAAACACTTTGTATAGTTTCTGCGTTACAAAATATTGTAGGGCACGAGTCGTATCGTATGCCAAAGTATTGCGTTGCGTTACGTCTTGTTCACGGAGCTCGATCGTGCGCGTCCGTTTTCTCTGCTCGCGAACTTTGTTGTCGCGCGCAAAAAGTGATCGATCGGTGTTCGCATTATGTTCGTTCGCACCGACTCTTGCGCGACCGTTTTCCGGGCCGTTCCGTTCCCGGATCGGCCCCTGGTCTCGAACGACGCGAACGCGAAGGTGCGCGGCGAATCGGACGATTTCCGGATCCTCAAATACTCGGCGGAGCACGGCGGTATCCTCGAAAGGAAGCGGCGTTACAACCTGTAAAGCAACAGATATCGTACAATACAAGAAAAAGTACAACTTCTTTTTTATGGTAGAATCGAACCGCAACAAAGGGAGAGGTTTCTTTTCGCACCTTGATCAGTCTGCTCGCTGCACGTGGCCGGTCTAACCGACGCGCGTTTTACCTTCCTCTGCCCCGTCCACGGCTGAATCCGCCTCTCCCTCGACCGGCGACCTTGCCCTTCGGCGGCGGAGACTTTGGTCTGAGGGCCTCGATGCGTTCCGTGCAGCCTGTCGTGATCTGGCCGTTCGCGAAGTAACTGGTGTACAGATCCGCGTTGAAGTTTGTATTGGTCAGTTCCGGTCCGACGGTCAGCCATCCAGGCCGAATGGTGGTGTCGCGGCCAAACAGGTGCAACCTGAGCAATGAACAATGTACGATGTACTTTTAAACGGCCCAGTAATGGTCCAGCGACTTATTTCACAGTTTCGGACCACCTTATTGTTGATAATTCACTGCGAGAATCGCCGAGTTATAAGGACAGTGGTTAATAGAAGACTCAAGAAAATGGAACACCCCTACGGCGACTAATAATCGGATGATTCAACGCAATCGCCAGCCATCTATTGAGTACCGCTCACTCTCAACGAAGACAGCGATCGAGTCAGAACATTGTCACGAAACCCCTCAAAGTCGGAGTAGCGACCAGCGTCCCTTGTTATAATCTATTTTTGCTGATATAAGTACTAACCCTCTATAATAATATGCAACTTCGAAGTCGCGGTCGTCGTGGACGGTCTTAGTTCACTTTCTCGCAAAGATACTGTATACTTTTTAGTTGGACTTGAGAAAAATTCTGTTACAGAGAGTTAAAGTCGACGCGGAATTCGCCGTAGAGCCTTACCGTCGCCTGCCGAGGCAGAAGTGCTCGATTATGTGAAAGATTTCGACAGGTTTCTCTATGGAGCCGTATTCAGGCTCTTCCGATATGATCAAGTCAATATCCACGTTCGCATGGATAAAGTCCCCGTCTGTGGATCGTCGAACTGTTCCCTTGATTCCCATCAGACAGTGTTCCTTGGTCCTCTGGAGCACGGCTTTGCTGTCCAAGTTCTTGCTGTGACCTGGATTGTCGATGTTGGTGCGAATCCAACAGATGTCTTCGCACCGTCTGAAGCCCCACTTGCGGAGACAGAAGCGTCCCATGTCCAGGCCGTCGCTGCTACCGCACCAGAGAAACACGAAGCTCCGATTCGCCGCCACTTCACCGATATCCAGCTCCATGATCTGTGAAAACGGTTATTCATCAATTTTCATAGAAGCTATTTTTTAAGCAAGACCTTTCTTTGATTCACCGCACCTGATCCCAATTCCACAGCTGAACGTTGGTCGCGCCACACGTGCGCTGATACTCCTCCAGCGGGGGTTCGATCAGTATCACGTCGAATTTGCAGTTGAGCTCTTTCAGATTGTACGAGAGCAAGTCTGTTTTCAGGTACATCGGCGGAGTCGCGGTTTCTGATATTAGGTCATCCTTCAATTTGATCAGCTCGCGCAACTTCGGGTATTCTTCGAACCTATCCGCAAGGCCCACGTCTCGGATGAAGTTTTGTGGCCGCTGACCCGTGTCGATGAAGTGTTGACAATAGTCGTTGTGAGGATTCGACGACTGTGTGCCCTGAATTCAATTTTTACGCCTTACTAATCGCATCGATTCAAGTCCAGCACTGTATGGCAAGAACATCGGTTTTAACCTTTTAGGTACGGCTGAATTCTGCGCGAGGCTATTTCTCTGGACGGCAGAGTCTGATACTGTATATACAGGATGTCCCAAAAATGTCTCGCAATCCGAAAGTGACGCGTTCCTCGAGTCATTTGAAGCAACTTTTTCCTTTACAAAAATTTTCTCCGAGGCACCGTTAACGAGTTATTAACGAAAAACAGTGACCAAT